ACTTTCTTAACTTCTGTTCATGATGTGTTCTTGGTTTGGACTCAATTATTTAAATTCCAACCCACATTCTAAATGCATTTACTTATATATATGTATCTTCCCAACATTTTGTTAATAATAACACTCTTCAAATCTTGAGAAATGACTCATACCGAGGAAAGGGCATAGGACTTGAGTCATAACACCTGGATTAGAGTCCTAATATTGCCACTTATCAGCTATATGACCTTTAGCAAGCCATTTAACCTACTGAATCTCAATTTCTTCATCTAAAAGGTGGAAATGTCTCTCCTAGTCTTGGTATAAAAATCAAATAAATTAATAAAAAGGTACATTACAAGCATTAAAGCACTATTTGAATTTAAAGTAACATGAAATAGATTTAATTTTTTATTCAGATCCTCCCCCAAGGACATGTAGGGCTTTCAAGGATAATTTCTAGACTTCCGTCTGAATATTTTGTTGATTTTTTAGAAGAATTTAAAATTGACATGCTCATCTATGAAATAATAAAAACCATCTGGCCATATTTTATAATAATTATTTTGCTAAGTGTCACCCTCATCCTGGTTTATAAAGCAATTATCCTTAGTAACCTAGTAACCTACACGAAGAATTATTTTGAAGATCTCTTCAGATGTAAGGTATGAGATAGGGCTATGAATACCTTTATACGTATACACACACACACATACACACACACACATGCATGTGCTCATGTACATACTTTAATTTTATTTTTTTGCCATATTGTCTTTTTAAAATATAGTATGTGTAAACACTTCTATAATGCTCTTTATTAAAACACCATAGCAGACATGAAAACCTAGGAAAAAAAGGAAACCAACAAAAGGCTCTCAGTGCTTCCAGCAAGGTGGGAAGACATTATCTTGTATTTTAAACATACACTCAATGTTGTTTTCTGACAAATAATAGAAGGGGAAGCAGCTTTCATGTTGCCTCTAGTTTTAGTTATATTTACTCATTTAAAAACTTTTGGAATATTTCATTCTTTTAAGGTTGATTGAGCTATAAATTTCGGTAATATTTGTGGACCTCTAGACAAATTCTATAGACATGGTCTCCAGCTTTGCTTGACAGCTCTAGTGGCAAGGAATTCACGGCGAGCCTCATGAGGCAGCCAGTTCTTTTTGAATAGTTTTATTTTCAAGAATTTCTTTTTTCCTTTGACCAAATGCTTGCCTTTAATTTCTATTCACTAGTCCTATTACTGATCTCTACAGCTCGCAGAATGGCCGAAAAGCTTGTTACCCAATAACCCTTTATTTGAGTATGGCCATTCTTTTCTAAAGAGTCCATATATTCAGATCCTGGATGCTTTTGTTTCTTTCAGGAAGAAAATGTCAAAACTGTCCTGATGAACCCAAACATCGCATCAGTCCAGACCAATGAGGTGGGCTTAAAGCAAGCAGATGTTGTCTACTTTCTTCCCATCACCCCTCAGTTCGTCACAGAGGTTATCAAGGCAGAACGGCCAGATGGGTTAATTCTAGGCATGGGTGGCCAAACAGCTCTGAACTGTGGTGAGTTCTTGTTTAATTGCAGAGTTTTGACCCCTGCACCTATGTGTAAGATATTTTATTTGAACCCATCTAACAGTTGTGCTCTGTGTATTTATGAAACCTTTCCTCTAATGTGTGAAGAAACAGTTAGCAAATAGGCACCTAAAAATGTCAGATGATGAATATTACCAGTTTATTTCACAGACTGAGAGACAAAGAAACCTTTTGATTTAATGCTCCAGATTGGTCAAATAGGTTTCTTGAATTGTCCTCCTCTATCCCAGGATATTGCTTTTCTCTGTTGCCACTGAAGTCCTGAAAACTATTATGAATGAAAAGAAATGAGAATTAACATTGATTGCATGCTTTTATGTATCAGCCTTATACAATTTGCCTCTCACATATATTTTCATGATAACATAGTTCAGTCTTTCTACCATTACTTCAAGCATCTGCAAAGTCTACTTCTCTATTCTCTTTAAAATGCTTCAAATATTTGGAAATAGATCATGAATGAGAATCTCTTTAGCTAGTTGGGGTAATAATTTGTATGTCAAATATAAAAGACTCAGCCAAAGTTAGATGGCAACATAGTGAAAACGCAAACAATTTTTGTGGTTATTTTTTTAACCCAGGTAGATACCCACATCTTTGGGATTATTTAAATAATAGAATATCATTATAGGGAGGATTTTAGAAGGAAAGGAAGGGTACTGAAATTTTAAGCCTCAGTGTAATACTATAATTTTTGTTAATAAGGACAATAAAAATGATTAGCAGAGGTGATAATATAAATAACAGCATCAGTAACATATTTTGTTAGACTGTCTTCAAAATTTTGATTTAAATTTTTTTCCCTAAGTGCAATTCTATTGTAGACTATGGTGGATTTAATTTTAAGATTAAAAGAAATTGTATTCCGGTCTCTATTAAAGAAGACACAAAATTTGAGATTTTAAGAAACTAATTATATTTGGTTCTTCTGTAGGAGTGGAGCTATTCAGGAGAGGTGTGCTCAAGGAATATGGTGTGAAAGTCCTGGGAACTTCAGTTGAATCCATTATGGCCACAGAAGACAGGCAGCTGTTCTCAGACAAACTAAATGAGATTAATGAAAAGATTGCTCCAAGTTTTGCAGTGGAAACAGTAAGGAGTCTTTGTTCTGGAGAAATAAGGGCATTATTTGTCTTGAGTTATGGGGAGAATGATTTGCCATGCCTAATAATAATGCTTAAATTATTATACTTGCATATATTTTCTTCCAGAAATGTGTTAGATATTGTATATTAATTCGGAAACATTGTATA